GACATGTATTAGAAAAACCTTCATTGTCCTATAAGGCAGGATGACTCAACAGCACCTAACGACAGGAGAAAATTGTATTTGAACCACTAATCAATGCAAAGGAGCATCACTAATAACATTTAATGGTAGTCTTATAGATTGAAGCTGTGATAGAAAGAGAAACTTCTGCTGATTACTGTTGCCCTCCGGTTAGTAACTGGTGTTTAATTACAGGACAATATCAGCTCAGTGTACTCAGAGTCCATCAACAACATGAAGCTGCTTGAGACTATTTTATTGTATGTCTTGGTCATCTCCAAGGAGCAGGAGAGAAGTCTGTGTTTTTCCTCCTCTTCTCTTCGAAACACTTTGACACGAGATGAGAAGAGAAAAATCTGTTCTTGTTTTTCTGCCATTTATTTGGTTCCGTTTGATTTATGACACAGATCTCCAGCTTCTCTCTTTGTCTGGTTTCTATGGCGCTGGTAATTGGAAAATGCAATGTGAAACGTCCGTAATCACAAGGAATTGAAGATATTGAAAAATGATGAATGTGGCAATGTGCTGAAATCAGAGAAACTACTCGGATCTCATAGAAAACAAACAATACATTTGTTGTTTTTCCTTTTGCTGTTTCAGGTTGGCTTTTATTCCTCCTTGTGTGTCTTTTAAATTGAACTTGAGGAAGGCAGAGAGACTGAATGCCTTTTTTGATAGACTGTGCAGCTGTCGCCATTGAGGTGACAATAACCTTTCATTCAGTTTGTTTGATGAACTCTTACAATGAGCTCAGGTCACATCTGTGCTGTTCTCACTGTTGATTTTCTGAAACCAACATCAGACATTTTGTCAAGTCCTATTTTAAAGAAGGAGATAGGCAATGTTTTTTTGACATGTCTTTCTTTTGAAATGGTGCTCATGATGTTTTTTTTTTTTTTTATGAGATTGAAAACCATATAGGACAGCTGTGTAGTTAATGAAGAGTGAAATGAAGCAACAAGCTTTATCTTTATGGCTGTGTAATTTCACTGTGCATCATCACTGCACACAAATATACTGTTACTATATGTTTCATGGATATTTCTCCACAGTTTTAGTGTAGCACCCTGGAAATGTTTGTGGAAATGACTCCATCTGCACCACAAGTGGAAAAAAATGCAAAGGAACAGTTTGGGAAGTAAACATATACACTTTCGTAGTGCATTTAGATGAGAAGATGGACGCCACCAATAGGTATAACATCGGACAATACCAAACAGAAAACACAACAAAAACATCGGAAACACAAAAGGTCTCCAGTCTTTATGCTAAGCTAAGCTAACTACCAGGAAGAATGTTACACGACACTTATATTAAATATTGTAGGTGTTTCAGTTCAATTCAAGAAACTTTAATTGTCCCCAGGGGGCAATTTAAAGGGCACCTAGTGTAGACATTAAAAAAACACACAAATACATAAAAAATAACACACAACCAGTGCAAGACAAACTGTATGTGATGTCAATGGCATGAAAAAACAACATGAGTGGAAAAAAATGCTAAAACTATGCAAAACAATGACTTTTAATATTATTATGAGAATTAGTGCAAATAAATAACTGACTAACTGACAGACATATTTTGATTAAAAAAAAATTGCTGTATGAGAGATAATCTTAGCATGGTTAAATAGCAGCAAAGCAGCAATATTGTAGGTGATTCCACAAATTTCAACGTAAAAGCCCAAAAAGAGACCAACATAACCCACAACTATAAATTCACCATTCAATATATGAAAGATGGTCTTCACTTTTGCAAGTAATGATGTTCCTATTGATTCAGTTTAGCATGTATTTCTTTACATTATAGCAAATTAACTAATTTGCTGTTAAAAGTTCTTGTTTGCTATGTGCCATTGGTTGTACCCACAACTATGGATTAATTATTTTGGGTGATGTAAATAAGAACTAGCTTTATTGTTGCCATGGAATCATTTCATTTGTTTTCATTTTTGGCAAACTGGCACTATTAAAAGTATGCCAAATTAGCTATTAGCAGTTCCTGTTTGCAATGTACCTATGGATGTACAGACAACTGCCACTGGATTATTCTGATACTGAAGAAAACTTTAAAACATGATGATTCTCAGGTACATTCTGGAGCTATAAGCAATGGCTTTTTTCTATGATTTCTAGGTGGATTTTTGGACATTTATTCACAATGGATATCGTAGATAATAATATCCTCGGAAAGTGTAAGTCACACTGAATCTAAAAATGTGTGTCTCACATCAGTCCAAGTTATTACCCGCCCAATTACAGAAAAAGGACCCCAGTGGGGTGTAAAACACACCTGTCTGGCAGCACTGCAATCATATCTACTGATTAATAATAATCATAAAGACACATCAGTGCATTGAGCTAGATGATAACATCCTCAGATTGACAGAACTAACATTTTCAAATAAGTATAGCTCATGCTGATGGGAATGTCATTAATTTTGCAGGTAAAGTCATCAGGATTCACCCTCTGAGGACTATGAATGTCTGTAACACATTTAATGACAATCGATCAAAGTATTACACTCTGGACCAAAGCAGTCATTGCCATCCGTGTCACCGCACTGCTACTGTGGCTAATATTAACCTGAACAAAGGCTCATTCTTTTCATTCTGTTTTCTTTCTGTGACCATGAATGTGTGGGTGAGTGTGTCAGCTGTTGCTTTAGTACAGATGTTTGCTAGATGCGAGTCTCCTGAAACCACACGCAGTCTCACCTCCACAGCATCCTCCCTGTGTGTTCCCAGTTCATGTTAACCAGAGTGCTGCTAAGTTTCTGAATGTCAATTACCAGCATCGCCCATGTGTGGGAACACACTCTGTTTAAATTGTCTGCCTTATCAATACAGGACCAAACATAGCTGCCGTGGTCAAATCAATCTATCTGCAAACATCCATCCTCACACCGGCTTTAATTGTTTCCTGTCTGACTCATCATTCATATCCCCCTTGATTCTATTCGCTCTTCATCATCTTATCTGTATCCTGTGTTTTTCTTTTTGCTGCCACTCGTCCTCTGAGTGTTATCTCTGCCAGCTCCCTGTTTTCTTCATCGTAAACATGTTGACAGTCAACAGCATCACACACTGCAGCATTGTACAGAAGTGCTTTGTCTCATTTCTCAGAGCCAGACTGACATCACAGACTATTTCCTTTGCAGTACCACAAAATGCTGATTTTAATGCTCATTACAAATGTATGTATTACACACCATTACCACAGTTACCCTCATGACCAGTACTGCAAGATAGATAGATAGATAGATAGATAGATACTTTATTCATCAAATTGTCCAGCAGTTCGCACATACAGTACATGCAGTTTAGATTCATAGTCCAGGTCATGAGGCACTGCCTTTAATGCTAAATACCTTTACCACCAGCGCCTTACACTTCAAATGTTTGGGGAAAAAGGGAGTGCACTGGGAAAAAAATAAATGTAATGTCTTTTCCGTTTGACTGTTATCAAAATCCTGCAGTGTACTGAGTATATTTCCACCAGGGATGTGGAGGCAGGCTGTTCCACTTGACTAGTGAAGGTTATTGGGGCTGTATGGAGTCTGAATGAAATACCTGCAGACACAACTCAACTGCTGAAAACCTTTATTTTATATTTATTTATATTTATATTCACAGTTAATATTCTTTCAAGAACAGCAACCAATATACAAATGTATGTCAGTTATCAGTAAAAGCAACAATAGAAAATTATATAGCATATCTGTTTTTTTATGCTACCATTATTATGGAGAGAACAATAACAGTTTCATCAACAGTTATACTTGCTATACCTGTTTGTATAATACACTACAGTTCAACAGCACCATAGACTAAGTCCTTCATAATGATTCAACACGTGTCTGAAACAGTTTCAACACAAAGTGAACATTATAACCTTCATTGAGGAAGATTTATTGCAGGACTGTTGTATTGGACTGACTTTGTTTTAGCTGTATGTTCCTAATAATCTACCTGTGTACATATATAAATGTATAAATATATATAATATTGACTTATGAAGTGAAAACAAGTAAATGCAACTCCTGCAGCAAACAGGTTAGATTAAAAATGCAAATGCATTGTAAAGTCAGACTCTAGACTGCATCATTTGGACTGACAGTAAAATAGTATAGTCAATAAATAAAATAAACATTTTTAACAAAGTGACTCCAGATTAGAAAAGACATTTATAGATACTGACTTCTGCAGAAATGCATGTTTTTTTCTCTTAAAGAAATGACCATTGTACATTCTGTGTTGATGAATTACTGTTATTACTATTTTATTTTAAAATGCAACAGTTCAACAATAAAAGTTAAATTTTGATGCTGTGTGAAACTTTGAGGTGTTTTGCAAACTTAAACTCAAAGACAAATCAGGTGTAAGAGTAAATATGCCCATTAAAATTTATGAAAAATTATTCTATAATTACGAATGAAGGGGAGGAAATAGACTGCTTAAGAATATTTTATTGATTTTGACCGCTTAAATTGTGTTTTTAGTAATAGTAGTTTCACCTCTCCCTTCTGGGTTGTCTGTTTCTTTGGGCAAATTTTAAATAATTTACGATTAAGGAAATCTTTTTTAAGGAAATGTTTTAAAAATCAATGTCTTGTACTGTGTGTCTTGTGTGTCATTTCTGCGCAATTTGTCACTGAAGGACCAAAATCTCTTTTAAAACAAGAGCATATCAGAGCAAAAAATACTGAGTACATTTATAGTGACACAAACATCTGGAATCTTTTAGCAGAACGCCGTCAACATGTCTGCTGGTGGTTTTCAAAGCTGATGTGTGAAAATCACTTTCTAAACAAAGACATGTTTATTTTACATCTCTGTTCATTTGATTCTCCTCAGTGACGAAACAAAGGTAGAAACACGTCCGCCGCTCAGCTGCTAACTGATTTCTTTCTTCCAGCAGAACAGAACAGATGGGTGGGAGCTGAGACGGCAGAAGGACAAAGCGTCAGGATTAACACATCGATGGGTGAAGTCTCACTTCCCGGGCTGGAGATGATGGATGAGATGTGGGAGAACAGAAGCTACGCCAGCCCCTTGCCCGGTCTCCCCCCATTTCCGCTCATGTTCAACAGCAGCGATCTGAACGAGACGCTGCTGAACTCCACCAACTCCACCGCCCAAGACATCTCCACGGGTCCCAGCGTGGCGGGCGTCCTCATCCCACTCATATACATCATTGTCTGTATCATCGGCTTGGGTGGAAACACATTAGTGATTCACATTGTGCTGCACTACTCGAAGATAGAGTCGGTCACCAACATTTACATCCTCAACTTGGCCATCGCCGACGAGCTCTTCATGCTCGGCCTGCCCTTCCTGGCGGTGCAGAACACCCTGCAGTCGTGGCCCTTCGGCTCCTTCATGTGCCGCCTGGTCATGACCGTCGACTCCATCAACCAGTTCACCAGCATCTTCTGCCTGACGGTGATGAGCATCGATCGCTACCTCGCTGTCGTTCACCCTATTCGTTCTTCAAAGTGGCGGCGCCCTCAGGTCGCCAAGGTGGTGAACGGCACCGTGTGGGCGCTATCGTTTCTTGTCGTTCTGCCTGTGGTCATCTTTGCCAACATCCAGAAGGCAGGAGGCACCTGCAACATCGCCTGGCCTCAGCCGGCAAATATCTGGAGAGCGGCCTTCATCATCTACACTTCCACTGTTGGATTCTTCTGCCCTCTTCTCATCATCTGCCTCTGTTACCTGCTCATTGTTGTCAAGATCCGCAGCTCAGGTAAGAAAGTCCACGCCACCTCCACCAAGCGCAGGAAGTCGGAGCGGAAAGTGACGCGCATGGTTGTGATTGTCGTTGCCGTGTTTGTCTTCTGCTGGCTGCCCTTCTACGCCCTCAATATCATCAACCTTCTGGTGTCCCTGCCCCCAGAGTACCAGGGCCTTTACTATTTTGTCGTAGTGCTCGGTTACGCCAACAGCTGCGCCAACCCCATTGTCTACGGCTTCTTGTCAGACAACTTCAAGAGGGGTTTCCGGAAAGCGCTCTGCCGTTCCACGAGAAAGGTGGAGAACCATGAGCCCATGGAGCGCCAACAACAGCAGGAGGAAGGGAGGAGGGCGCTCATGCCCAGGGAGAGCCTGAGACGGGCGATCAGGGACGAAGAGGAGGACGATGAGGAGGACGTCTCAGAAATGACTGAGATCTACAGAATCGCCCAGAATGGAAACAGCAGCTTCCAGCCACAAAGCTCGCAGCCACTGTTCTCAGAGAAAGGAGCGACACCGGGAGCAACAGAGCTGTCGTCCCCGGACAAAAAGGACAAAGCTGGGGAGGCGAAGGGGAAAGATCCCGTGAATGGGTCCATGCTGACTGTCCCATTGCTTCTCAATGGAGCCAAAAATGGGAGCATCAAAACTCTGCCAGAAGAAAACCTGGAACAGAGCACCTCATTGGAGATAAGTTATTTATAGTGTACAATGAGGTCTTGAAGCTTATGTTACTTGAAGTGAACTCAGTATTACAACACAGGGTGGCCTGCCTCTAATTCACAACACAGAGCTGTTTGTAATGAAGCAAAAAGCTCATTAATGAACATTAGAAAAAACCCAGACACGGTTTAGAGTTGTTTTTTTTGATCAATGGGCTCAAAGGAGTCGGTAAAGATTTACCAACATTCAGAATGTATGTTTATAATGTGTATAATGTGTACATATGCATGGTTGAATGTACAATTGTGTGCCTTTCTTTACTGTCATCACATGTATCTTTGTATTTTAAACCTTTTAATTCCATAATGTGACCATCATTTGCTCAGATTTTACTGTATTTAAGCTTAAATCACTTCACAGTAGTTAAAGAGTACATGTGTATTCCTTTATTTTCAATGGAACTCCCATGGCTGCAACACCTGTTTCCTAGAAATTCTGTTTATATACAAATAATTTGTTTTGCCAGTTATGTTTAAGGGAACTGTCAGGTTCACATGTGGTTTAAGGTTGGTGAAAGATTGGAAATGAAACAAATGAATATGTTAACATTTTGCGACTTTGCAGGTATGTTCATGTTCAAGTTTCCTCATTATGTTGATAAATAACAATCAGGGCAGGATTATTTTTAGTTCAAAACATACTGTATTTGCTATATATGAATATGATTTCTAAGAGGATTTGTTGGCCTTCACATGTTCTCGTTGATTATTAACAAGCACTGTATATGAATATTAACTGATGTATATAGCTTACATTGAGGCCCTGACTCTGGGTGTTGTCAGAAGCTTTGTTGAAGCTGAAATTGTGACTTTGTGAAGGAGTTGATTTTTCTCTTACATTTAGTTGGAAAACACAGTATTTCCTGAAAACCTGAAGTAGTGCGTAAAAATGTTGGACAGAAGTTCAGATTTCAAAGCTGTTTTATTGCGCATTTGATGACTTGAGACAAGAAAAACTAACGTGTGCTGCCTGCAGCTTCTACATCAGGATGGATCAGGAAATGTGGAATGGCAGCAGTATTGTTTTTATCCTTTTTCTTTATTGTACTCTAAAAGAAAAAAATGTTTCTTGTACCATAGTGTAATTTTAAAAGGAGCTATTTGTAAGTTTTGCTATTGCTACATAGCCAACATTAGCGTCAACAGCTGTTTACTTACCACTCTAGAAGAAACATTGTGAGTTCAGCAGCAAATTTCATTCCTTTACTCACCAACAGCTGTCTCCAGAGGTGGAAAGAAACCCCTTTGTTTTGCTTGTATTTCTATTATTTCATTTCTTTTACTGAAGTTAGCATGCTAACCAGCTAGCCCCAGCTCAGTTGGACCGTCTCGTCACTCTCAGATACCGAGTCACTGTAGCATCCACTACTCAATAACTTGGGCTCTTGCTTAGACTGGTAAGTAAACAGCTGCTAACGCTAACGCTAAAACAAGCAAAACTAACACATAGCTCCTTTAATCAGCCCAATGTTGATTAAACACTAATTCTGGAGGAAAAATCTTGTATAACAATGACTGATATTGAAAGAGAATCATTTACCATTTTGTTATCAGAAAAGAACCTGGAGGTGGAAAACTGGGTGATTTACTATTTCAGGAATGTGAGTTATCAAGTAGAACAAACTCGGACTATAAATTACAGTGTTAGGATCACAGTGGCTTTGTGGTGGTGTGTAGTATAGTAGAGTGTTTCCATTGTGATACAGATTGAAACTGACACATATTCCTGAAACAATAACACGCACAGTGCATTGTTATTCTTTATCAGACATATTCAAGGATTCCACTACATCTTTGCAACATGCGGTTAAGACTACTTACATAAATTCAAGCACCCGACTGCCTGAGTGAACTGCTGGCTGTCATGTTGCATTGTGGGTAATGTACTCTCCAGGTTTTGATGAAGAAGGAGAACGGGCACTGAGAAATAACAAACATCCTTACATGTCTCTTGTGTCTTTTGTGACCTCTTCATATGTTGGATGTGAACAGAAATCAGGTAGACAAATAGTCACACAGTAGATATTCCAGAGCACACAGTGGATTTCTAGATCACCTTCATTTGTACATGACTACAAATCTTCTTGATCTTGACATCCCTTGTGTCTGCTGCAGTTTCAATATTATTGAGCCTTCTCTGTGTCATTGATGCAACTCACTGAAACACAGGACGGCCACCTGATGAGCCTGTAGACTTACCTGCTCTCTTACACTCATACAAACCCAAATTGCAACCATGTTCTTTTCTTTGGTAAAACAGGTCAAGGGAGATAAGTAGAGAAATGTTTGTCATACCAGAGGGGAGGGGTCACTAACAAGTGGAACAAGATAAAGAGATAGCTGCTATTGACAACTGGTACTCAGATCAAACTGCCTATTAAGCCACAGATTCAGTGTAAAATGACCTGACCAGCCTCTGTTCCTCTGGGCTCTATAACTCTCATTTAGCTTTTCTTGATGTGTCTTTCTATAAAATGAGGTGTGCTCCTGGGGTTTACTTTCCATGTTCTGAAACAAATCACCGTCCAGAAGCAGCTACTATAAGAAATTGAAACCTTCATGATTTCAACAAAGTTAAACAACAATTTGGGAGCTTCTCCAGATCCATAAAATTTAGAAACGCAGTCTGGACTCGTCTCTTGTGTCAAGCCGTGATATTTACGGCACATTCACATCGACATCCAAACCGTAACTACCACTGGGAAATTTTAGTGTTTTTTCTTTTCATAGAAGTGCTACAAAAGTCAGTAGTGAAAGGTAATTAAACCTGTAACGTGATTTAATAGATATACTGTTGTGCTATATTGAACAAGTACAGTATTTTTAACATTCACACGTCCAACTTCAGTAAAATAAAAATCGCTCATTGTTAGTACTTTGTTCAAATTACACTCCTTATAGTCTTTTAGCCTTAACAAGTTTGCTTCCCTCTCACATGACGTGAATGTGTCATTAGCCTGCAAATATCCAGGGCTTATGGGATAATTTTTTTTTAAAGGCCACTAAAAAAACATATTAAATAAACAATAATATCAGGTTGTTTTTCAAAAAAGCTACGTGACCTGCTGTTGAGAAAAGCTCCATTCAAGGCTTGATTTTTAATTATTAGTGTGTAAACATCAACTGATTCGAAATCGATTTCGAATGAGGTTTTTCCTGGAATCTAGCGCTCTATAAGGTCAGGTCAGCCCACTGACACTCTGCTCTTTGCTTGTGTTGATGCAGGATTTAACAGCAGCTTAGAGGTGCATTAAGCCAGGGCTGGAGAGTGATGCTTCCTGTCAGAGGGCTCCGTTGATTTATGACGGCACTGCCTGACTGCAGGGGCTAATGATCAAAATGTCATTACCATGAACACTGGGCTTCCTCACAACATTTGGCACATTTTATCTTCTGTAGAGTACTACAGTAAATCTACTTTGAGTACCATTGAAATAAATTTGCAGGTAAACGTGGCAACAACTCTCCATCATTCATCATTCAACTCACCTTCCCGCTGTTCATTCATGAGTGCTAACACACCACGCACATTGGTATCAGCTTGTTATATTTAGACGGCTGTAAATACAGTGAAGTGATACCTCTGCTTGGTATTAATGTTGCTGCTGCTGCTGCTGCTGCTCTCGGCTGGTCCTCAGCCCGCACGCCCACACACACCCTTCTGCAAAGGTCCACTGAGGAGCATAAAAACGTCATTAAAGGCACATTAAAAAGAGATTCGCCTGGCTGATACTTTATTTGCCAGGCCCCAGGGCTTGCAGTTTGATGAGAGCGGAGATTTGTTCAGGGTGAGTAGAGCTCGGTGTGTTTGCTTCTCTGTTTACTAGTGATTTTCTGTGTGTGTGTGTGTGTTTGTGTGTGTGTGTGTGTGTGTGTGTGTGTGTGTGTGTGTGTGTTGGGCTATAAATATTGCCAGTTTGAGCTGCCTGAGTGATCCCCCAGCTCCCTGCAGTGATAACCCACCTGTGCTTACTGTACATGGAGAGATGATAGTCATTTGATGAGTCTGCTGGTGGCATCGCTATGACTCAGTGTGATTCTCTGCCCACAGGCTCTCACCCACATGCAATATGGACAAAACTCAAGTTAACTCTAATAGCCTATTATTCACTTTTTTTTGGCAGGAGCAGCTATAGAAACCCAGAGCAAACACTGTCATCAGCTCAAGAAGATGAACACAACAAGGTCCACACACCATCCTAATAAATGTTAATGTGTCCCTTTTGGGTCGGTTTAAATATCTCAGTGAAACAGCTTCTGCTGCAACTACAACACATTTAAAATGAGCATGCACACAGAACCATGCATGTTTATTTCCACAGTGTAATCAGGATGCATGAATAGCTTTACTAAACTATCCCGCAGGTAATGCTGAGTGGGAGTCTTAATTACTTTGTGTTTTCAGAAAACAGCCTTAACTTCAGGCTGAAGTGTCTGCAGCAGAGAATTCACTGTACAACCCAAAATCAACCATTTTTCAGAAAATCATCTGCGGTCAATCATAGCATCAGGGGACAATGTGCAACATAATTCCACTTGATGTTGGTTGGTGAGTTTGTTTATTATACACACTGGATGGTGGTGTTGTTGTTCGTTTTGTTTTTTTTCAAATAGTGCTGCTGCAGTTTCAATATTTTATGCCATGATGACAAAAATGTCATATGTATAAAGATATGACAGAAGTGTGAAGAAATAAAATATATATTTCAGTGAAACTTTTAGTGGCTTTTGTTTTGTTTTGTTCTGCATTTTGGGAAATAAACTTATTTGCTTTCTTGCTAAGAGTAAGATTGTGGATTACCTGACCAGACGACCACAGTACGTCAGGCTGGGTAACTGTGTCTCAGGGACAGTGATGAGCAGATCTGGGGCTCCACAGGGAACTGTTCTGGCTCCGTTCCTGTTCAACCTGCATACGGCCGACTTTAAATACAACTCTGAGTCTTGGCACATCCAGAGAAACTGGTCATCGACTTTGGGAGGTCTAGGCCCGCCCTTCAGCCAGTCAACATTCGGTGGGTACATTGAGGTGGTACACGCCTATAAATACCTAGGTATGCACCTTGACAGTAAACTGGACTGGTCCTGGCTCTTTTTCCTCAAGAAGCTCAGGTCCTTTGACATCTGCAGTGAAATGCTGCACATGTT